TTGAGGTCGGAAAGCAAGAGAAGACAGACGAGAAATTAAACCTCCAAGGCTGGAGAGAACTGGACGCTGTTTCCTCCTTTCAGAAAAATCTCAGAATAAAGACGCATAAAAACGTGTGGATTTGGCCTCCCTGATTTTCAGTGCTGTGGAGCCGTGCCTAGCCGGAGCTGTGAGAGCCAGTAACATTTTAAGCCGGATGGTAACAGCTTCAAAGGTGTTTCTGGATTCAGATCAAGCCAGCACGGGCGGGTGTCTGCTAAGACGCGCCCGGAGGCTCAGAAAAGCAGGAAGAGTTCCTGCAGCTTCTGCTGGCATGACCACATCTGGACGCTGCCAGGTGTGCGCATCTGAGTGTGTGTCCGTGTGTCTGTTTCTATGTGTTGGTGCTGCTGCGTGTCCGTCTGTGTTTGTATGTGCACGAGTATTTATTCGTGTGTGTGTGTGTGTGTGTGTGTGTGTGTGTGTGTGTGTTGGTGTGTATGTCTGTGTGACCTGGCACTGGGATGTGTATGTTAACGGGTGTATATCTTTGCGTTGGAGCGTGCATATGCATGTGTACGTATGCACGCATGTCCCTGTGTGTGGGTGTGTAGACGTCTGTATACACTGGTGCTGCTTTGTTTGTACGTCTGTATGTGTGCATTGCGTGTGCTGGTGCTGGGAGTAGAAAACACCTATTTTTTTTGGCCAATGCCCTTCCTTAGCCTATTATAAACAATGTTATTTAAAGAATCTGAACTAATGCTTACAATAAATAAATACAGGAGGCCTTATCTTTGTTTGTTTGTGTTTTTCAAGTCAGGATTTCTCTGTATAACTCTGGCTGTACTGGAATTAGCTCTGTAGACCAGGCTGGACTCAAACTCACAGAGATCAGCCTGCCTCTGCCTCCCCAGTGAGTGCTGGGATTAAAGGTGTGTGCCAGCATGGCCCATATCTTTTAGAGGATAAGGATCATGTCATAATTGAATATTTTGAATTTTTACTTAAGAGCTCTTGCAGTTTTATCTAGGAGGTGATGTACGGGGTCAGGGTAGGGGTGTAGATTTCTTATGCTTTTCAGTGATGCTAAACATGATGAATTTTCCCTTTAGGTCAATGCTAGCTAAAAGGGGCTTTCTGTCAATTTGCTACACTGTGTTTAAATCACTTGTGTTAGTTACTTTTCTTTCCTGTGACCAAATATCTGACAAGAAGCCATTTAGGGCAGTGGTTTTCAATCTTTTTAATGTTTCCACCCTTTAACACTGTTCCACGTGTTGTGGGGCCCACCAACAATAAAAGTATTTATTTTTCTGCCTCATAACTTTAATTTTGCTACTGTTATGAATTGTAACGTAATATCTGTGACCCCTGTAAAAGAGTCACAATCCACAGGTTGAGAACCACTAACTTAGAGCGAGACCAGCTTATTGCCGGTCCCACACAACTTGAGGCGATCCTGCCCATCATAGCCAGGATGGCACGGTGGAGGCCAGAGCATTTGGAGCATGTGGCTGGGACTCACCATATCTGCAGGCAAACAGAAGCAAAGGGTGGCCAGGGGTGGGGACAGGCTTTGTCCTGTCTCTAAACCCCAGGGGCTAACACTGACCCTCCTCTTCCAGCAAGGCTCTACTTCCTAAAGGTCCCACAACCTCCCCAAGCGACACCACCAACTGGGGACCAAGGGTTTAAACACGTGAGCCTGTGGGGACAGTCCTCATCCAAACCATGTGATCACAACAGCATCTGGCCTACAGTTGGAGCTCTCTCGGTGTTATTGCTCAGTCTCCTTCATGTGCTTCCCACTTAGTGAGCTCACTGTGAATGACACTTAGCGGGTTTCAGTTGGCAGAGCGGCCCAGCATCACCCTGAGGACAGACTGACAGCCACAACAAGTCCATGCCCTATCTCTGGGGACCTTTTGGCGAGGAACTCAATGTCCTGTGCCACTGGGCTTTCTTTCCCTCTCGTCCCTCTATCAGTGAAATGAAAACAGCTTAAAGTTTGGTCTCAGAGTCTGGAGAGATGACTCAATCAGTTGGGTGCTTGCTGGATGAGCACGGGGACCTAAGTTTGATTCCCCAGCCTATGTAGAAAGCTGGGCATGGTGGTGCATGCTTATAATCTCAGAGCTGGGGAGGCTGAGACAGGAGAATCCTGCGGATCACTGGACAGCCAAGCTAACGGAATAGCGAGCACCAGAACACTTAGAGGCCCCATCTCAAAAACAAACAAACAAAAACACCAACACACAAGGCGGACGGCTCCTGAGAAATGATGTGAAGGTTAGCTCTAACTGAAGTTCAGGGTGATGAGATGGCTCGGTGAGCTTGCAACAAAAATCCGACAACTCAAGTCTGCTGCACAGCGGAGGGAGAGAAGTGATTTCCACAACTTGTCCTGTGCTCAAACTCACGCCCATGCACACACACAATAAATAAATAAAATATATTTTAAAAATTTAAATTGCCAGTAAGATAAAACAGAATCACTTGAGAAGAGGACTTTGGTGAGGGACTGCCTACGTTGGTTGGCCTGTGGACACGTCTAGGGAGGACTGTCCTACTCAAGTTATGGGGAAAGACCCCAGCCTACCGTGGGTGGCACCATTCCCTAAGCAGGGTGTCCTTAGCTGTCTAGGAGTTGAAAATTCAAGCTGAGCACAAGCAAGCAAGTGGGCACACATGCATTCATCCGCCCCGCTCTTGACCATGGGTGTGACAGGACCAGAGGTTCTTGGCACTATGACTCTGCAGAGATGGCCTGTCACCCGGAGTTAGGAAGTCAAACCTCTTTCCCCCTGAGGAGCTTTTTGTCAGGGTGCTTTATCAAAGCAACAGAAACGAAACTAAAACAAATGACGTCTGAAGCCACCACGAACACGTACATGCACACATACAGGCAAACACACACACACACACGGTTGCCGGTTGCAAGGCTTAACCTGTGACCGTGAAACCAGGAGGAAATGCACAGCTGAGCGTTCCCGCTGTGCAAGTTTCTGAAATGGAGACAGCTCAGTGGAGTGTCACTTTCTGAAACTAGAGCACAGCTATTTTCCACTGCAAAAAGACGATCCTTTCCTACCCATTGGAACTCTTGATGCTTACGATGAAATCTGAAGGGATTCACTCGATTCTTTTCTCTCCCAGGACATCATTTATATAGTGCTTGATTCATAAACCCCGGCTTTTGCTTTCTTAAAGATGCACAAAAACGTCCCATAAATACATCGATTCGTGCACCCTGTGTTTTTGCCAGACATTCCCCAAAGGTTTATAGATTTCCTTCATTACAAACTCATTGATATTCTGGAAGTGCTCGGATCTTAGCAGTTCTCGATGTTGAAAGTGAGGAAAAGTGTTTGGGATGTCATCAAAAGGTGAAGAAAGCTTGGCAAGCCTACGCGTGTGGTCACAGTGGCAGGAGGGGTAGACGCGAGGACCTGTAAGCCTGTGTGCATCACAGTGACACCAAGCTGCCATTTCTACAGATCTGGGGCTCTTAGAATTAACTATTCCTTTTCACACACCAGGGAACTGAAGCACAGAGTGGGGTCTGGTGCGTGGGCTAAGGTCAGAGAGCAAGTAGGGTGAGATCACAGGCTGACTTCTTCCAGGCGTGCAGCTAAGTGCCAGGTTAGCTACATGAAAAGGAAGGCTTCCCACTGCCATTGGATGCCCCAGGAGTGGGTGGCCGTGAGCTGGAAGGGAGCCTGTCTGTCTTGGGTTTCACTTCTGTGTTCCTTCAAGCCCCAGGTGAGCTGCACAGTCAAGAGGCTCTGCATAGGGGCATGGTCACGTGGCTGGAGGCGAGACAGACCCAGCCTAGTGCCTTGCCATGCTGGGGTAGATGCCACAGGCAGGCTGGCTTGACATCCGTGTATTCATTCCATGCCTCCAATCTCCTGCCTCTACCACACACACAAGGCCTAATGTTTGTAGCCTCCCACATAGAAAGAAGGACTAGACTGCAAAGTTCTGGCCTCAAGTTTCTGGAGAAACTTCTAGAAAAAGTCTAAGCTTGCCAGGAGGAGGCTGTGACATTTACCCACAGGTCTCAGCAACCATTCTGTGACCAGAAGGAAGAAGAAGCATTGAGTCAGCTAAGTGACTGCTTTGTTTCTGCTTGTTTGTTTGTTTGTTTTGGTTTTTTGAGACAGGGTTTCTCTGTGTGGCCTTGGCTGTCCTAGAACTTGCCTTGTACACTAGGCTGGCCTCGAACTCACAGAGATCCGACTGACTCTGCCTCCCAGAGTGCTGGGATTACAGGCATGTGCCATCGTGCCCGGCTTGTTTTTTTGCTATGGCTCCCCTGTCTGGCTAGTTTTGGCTGCCAACCTGACACAATCTAGAGTCCCCTAAGAAAAGTCGGAACCTCAACTGAAGAACTGCTTGAGCACATTAGTCTTCGTGCCTGTCTGTAGGGCACCTTCTTTGCTGCTAATTGATACATAGAGGGTCTGGCCCACTGTGGGTGGTGCTGTCCCTAGGCAGGTGGGCCTGGGCTGTATTTGAAAGCTGCCGAGGGGAAGTTCGGGATCAAGCCGGTAAGCAGCATGCCTCCATGGGTTTCTGCTTCAGTTCCGGCTTCATCTCCTGACTTGACTCCCTTCAGTGATGGACTATGACCATGAAATAAATGTGGTGGTATTTGTCACAGCAATGGAAAAACAAAACAACAACAAAACCTTGGTCAGCCCCCAAATTAGAGCGATACCAGTCCTATAAGCAGGCAGACAGGAAAGCAGGAAAGTGACTTGGGCCAGCCACTGCTCATCTAGTTTTCTGTTCTTCACAGTTTAATGCATTTCCCACCGGACCCAAGGGGGATTAACGTAGGATCTGCTGCTGGGATGCTGTGGGCGTGAAACGAGATCACGCGTAAGGAGAACGGTCTGCATGGTAGCTGCCGGGTAAATAGGGGATCATACACCGCACTGCTGGAGAGCGCTCTTGCAGGCAGCACCCCTTTCTAAGCATGGGGCTCAGGAAGCAGGGTGGGTGAGGCCTACCTCGATCACTGAAGTCGTCCACCAGCACGATCTCCGCCACCAGTTCTGGAGGCGAGCGGTTGAGCACGCTGTGAACGGTGCGCAGCAGCGAGGACCAGCCCTCGTTGTGGAAGGGGATGATGATGCTGGTGTTGGGCAGCGTCTCCAGGTATTGCTTGCTGTTGCAGCTGGAGGGAAGACACGAGGGGAGAAGGACAGGCGTTATTCAGAATCACCGCTCAGCTCTCATACTGCAGCGAGACCGCAGATGCGGCCCCAGGCTAAGTGGGAGTCGTGTGTCTTTTCCTGCCACAGGGTAGGAGAGAGTGGAGAGACCTCAGCTGCTGCAGGACTTTCCTCTTTGGTTCCACGGTGTCCTATTTCCACTGTGAGCGGAGTGGGCCCTGTGTAAAAGACCCTTGTCTCTGTATGAAGTCGGGCTTACACACACACACACACACACACACACACACACACGCGCGCGCACAAGCCTCCACTGTGAGACTTGTAATCACTGAGACTAGATTTTTGGTCTTTGTTCTTGACACAAAGCCAAAAACCCCTGGTGTTTCCCGAGAAGAGGTTCTGGGAAGCACTTTGGTTTCTGACTCTGGCTCCTAACGACTTCAGAAGTTTCCCAGAGCGGAGTGCCTTTGTTCAAATGAGGTGACTCCTCTGGGCTCCGGGAGGGGATCTAGTCACCTGAGCCATGATCAGAGGGTTGGCTAGGACCAGGAGAATTCGAGCATGCCTTTAATCCCAGCACTGGATATGGGCTACACAGCTGGGTCTGGGACAGTCAAGACTACACAGTAAGACTCTGTCTCAAACAAAACAAAACAAAACAAAACAACAACAAAAACAACCTAAAGGGAAAGTTAATTGGTATTCAAATTCCCTTGGTCTTATGTTCTCCTACCGTTGGCTAGTTTAAGTGAAGGTCAAAATGAAGTCTACATACTGTGGACATGTCTCCTTCGTCTCTCTAATCACCCGTTTTCCCCTTATGATTGTGTGCTGAAGACACTGGGAGTCACTGGTACTCCAGGATCTGCGGTGGTCTACTCCTGGTTATCTGTATCTCTTTTTGCAGGGCATCTCTGCGGCCTGTATGTGACACAGAAGCTCTACGTAATTAGATAAGATACCTCTTCAGAGCCTCTTCAGAGCAGGCCATGCACATGAGTAGAAGTGGCAAGGGTAGATAGACATCTCGTCCTGCACCTGATCTCAGGAGAGGGCTGGAGGAGGATGGATCTTTCATCCTTGAGCGTAATGTCAGTGTACTTTTCCACTGGAGCCACTTACGAAGGAGTTCCTTATATGCTTAGTCTGTTGCGTGTCTTCAGCTTTCTAACGTGTTGGATTTTGTCCAGTGCTCTCCCCACCCCACACATCTACTGACATTTGTCTTCTGTTTTATTAGTATGGGTGGGCCACATTGATCGCTGTTCCTACGTTAAACCAACCTTGCATTTCTGGGATAGCCTTCCTGGCCACTGTACATAATCCTTACATAATGCTGAATTTTGTTAATGGGTCTTTTGTTGTGGAGTTCTGCATCAGTTTTTATTAGGAATATTGACATATTATATATTCCTTTATATGTACATATATATCTAAGCATATATTTTTAGTTTGCTATATTGCATTTAGTTTGCTAACAACCAGGCTACTGGGGCTAAATTGGTGGCTCAGCAGCCAAAAACATTTGCTGTTCTTTCAGAGGACCCAGGTTTGGTTCCAGTAGTCACATCAGGTGGCTCATAACCCCAACTCCAGCTCCAGAGGGTTCCAATGCCCTCTTCTGGCTTGTTCAGATACCAGGCATACACACGGCTCACATACAAACATGTAGGCACTCATGAGTATACATAAAACAAAACAAAACAAACCCTACCTAGGTTATATATATATATATATATATATATATATATATATATATATATATATGCATTTTGCCCTACAAAATGCAATATTGTCAGGAAAAACAATTCCACTATTACACTATCATTACCTATTTTTTCTATAGTGTACATTTCAGCTTTGAAGCTGTGTGAGCGATTGGTCTCTGCATCTTTCTCTCATCACATGTGCATGGGACATTCGGGTTCACATGTTATATTTAGTTATTTATCTTTACGGCTTGCATTCTAATTTTTAATTTAGAGCTAGTCCTGTTTATATAATTATGTGAAGCATACAGTTCCAAGGCCAACTCTAACGGGTAATTCAAAGATTCCTACCTTTTATTAATGTCTCCTCATCTAGTTTTCCCTTCTTCTGGGGAGGCCACGTTGTTTTGTGGCTAATGGCTACACTGTTTCTACTTTTTTAGTATGAACAAATTGCTGGCCTCTCAGTCCTTTCCGGGGAAACTTAGATGTGTGCACTTCAACTTTGCATTTTTTACCGACTGTTACATTGTGGAAACCACGCTACCTGGTACACCATGCTTCCAAGCGTCTCCCTGCTACAGTGTCCCAGACTTTCCTTTTGTCTCTGTATGTGTGTGCTGTTGAGATAAGGTCTCTCTTGAACCGGAAGCTGGCTGTTTTGGCCAGGGTGGCTGGCTGGAGGGCTCCAGCCCCCCAGTGCGGGGTGACTGGCATGCAGGCACACCATCTTTTCACATGGGTGCTGGAGACTCAGACTCAAGTCCTCACCCTTGCATTCCCAGTGCTCTAATCCACTGAGACATCTCCACAGCCCAAAAGGCTTTGAAGATCTGGGTGAGTCCTGTTCTGGGGAACAGTATCTGAGTCCATTGGCTCAGCTTAAGATCCTTTTACAGAAGGTAAGCTAACTTATTTGCTCCATGACAAACTCTGTTTTGCTTCAGGTGAGAAGAGGGATGAGAAGAGGGAAGCAAGGGGGAGCCGAGAAGGCAGCTATTCTGAACAACTCGGAGGACAAATCGGCAGATTGTTCTTGTGTGGCCCTGTCTGGGTTTCATTTCTGCTGTGATGATAAAGTATCTTGACAAAAAGACGTAAGGAGAAAAGAGGACTTTCTCTGGTTACAATTCCAGGTTACGGTCCATCATCTCAGGGAACCCGTTTAAACGCGGTCCGGGACACCCACGGTCAGGAGTGAGAACCGAGGGAATGGCGTGACTAGTGCCCAGCTTGCCCTCTCTGGCCACACACTGGCGCTCAGTCTCCTTCTTAAGTGGGACCCCCCCACCCCCTTCTCTCTCTGCCTGGGGATGAGACAGCTTTCTCTTCAGTGCACCTGGCTGGAACCGAATGTGGTGCTGAGCACTTGTCTGCCCAGCACTGAAAGCACAGATGCTGAGGGGGAGGCGGGAGGGGAGGGAAGGCTGGGAGTCCAAGGCCAGCCCTAGCTACACAAAAACCTAGAGTGGAAAAACCAACACAGAACCGAAACAGCAGCAAGAAAACCCTCAACAACAAACAGCGGCCCACAGCTGGCTGGAATCAGGAGTGGGAAGATGTGTGGGACAAAAGAGACAAAGCTAAGGTCTTTATGAAGCCCTTCTCCATTCACAGCCGCTTTGCTGAGAGCTAGCCACACACACACACCTGCTTGAGACACAGCCAGAGGAAGGGAAGTTTACTGCCACTTAGTCATGGGTCTCAGCCCTATCAGGCATCAGTAAGTAGATTTACATTTCTGACTTGCTTGCCCCAGAGTTCTGATGCAGGTAGGCTTAGCTAGACCTTGAAATGTGTCTTTGTTACCTGTATGATCCCATGTACTAAAACTTCTTTGTTCAAGTCATGAGCAATTCTTCCTTTTTCTTTTTCTTCCTTCCCCCCCTTTTTTTCCCTCTTTTGAGACAGGGTGCTGCTATCTAACCCAAAGCTGGCTATCCAACCCAAAGCTTGTGATGATCTTCCTGCCTCTGCTAATGACTGTGGTTCCTAAGGGAGGTCATGGCAGCAGTGTAAGTGATAGCTGACAGTCACGAGGAGAAAATGGTCTTTACTCCAAGACGCTGGATTCACAAAAGGAGAGAAGACAAACAAGCTGGAAAGAGTTCAAACTCCAGAAAGTTCTGCCATGGGGTCTACAGAAGCAAAGAGCTGTTAAGTACCAGCACACCTTTCTACAATGAGAGAAAACAGACTATTCCAGGGGAATATCACACTGTAATGGAAAGGAGCTAACTAATGACATAATACATAAAAGAAAAGAAACTCCTTGTAGAACAAAATGGTCCAAATACATCTTTTTTTAAAAAAAGATTTATTTATTAAGTATACAGTGTTCTGTCTGCATGCATACCAGAAGAGGGCACCAGATATCACTATAGATGGTTGTTAACCACCATGTGGTTGCTGGGAATTGAACTCAGGACCATTGGAAGAGCAGCCAGTGCTCTTAACCTCTGAGCCATCTCTCTAGCCCCTCCAACCACCTTGTTGTAAAATAAAATAAAACACTAAACTCACGCATGTCCATATATATATATATTATGAGCAAAGACCAAATGGTTTGCCCTCACTGCTTGGACGGAACTTGGCTCTGAGTGTGTGGAGAGTTGGGACGGAAGACTGCTGCCCCCAACCCCCACCCCCTCCACCCCAAGCCAAATTCGGAGAAGAAAACTTGCCACAAATTCTGTTCCTAATCTAAGCTGCTTAGCTGGTCACCATACTCCCCTGATACCATCTTAAAGGAGGAGGAGATGGGATGCTCTGAAAAACAAAGGCGACTTAGGGGAAGACAGGGTTTTATGTTAGTCTACACTTCCGGGTCAGAGTCCATCACTGAGGGGAGTGTGAGCAGGAATTTATGCACAAATCATAAAGGCATGCTGCTTGCTGGCTTTCTTATATAGCCTTGGACCACCTGCCTAAGGAACGGTGATGCCCACAGTGGGCTTGATCTTCCTACATCAAGGAACAATCAAGACTTGCCCACAGACCAACCTGATGAAGACAGATACTCCACTGAGAATCTCTTTTTAGGTGATTCTAGGCTGTGTCAGGTTGACAGATGCCTTCACCTTTCCTTTGTTCTTTTCTTTTTCTTTAAACTCCTCAAGACCAACATCACTTAAAGTTCCAATCATCTCTAGCCACTCCAACTGGATTTCAACTGCCTGTTTCTGCAGAGGTGTGTATCATCTTCAGTGTGGGGTATGAAATGCAGGTGGAGAGTGTGTTGGCCATGCTTGCTGGACTTCTCTAGCAAAACCTACTCGAAGTGCTAGTCCAAGGACCTCCAGCCATTAACAAGTAAAATACTAATAATCTCCCTCCTCTCTGTGAGACATGGGCCTCTATCCATGTGAGGATACAGTGGCAGAAAGAGTCACATGCTTTGACCTGCTTTCTACTAGCTGTGCTGATTTTAGCCCAGAGCTCCCCTAAGATTTAGTCTAATTGATGCAGCGGGAGACCTCCATAAAGCCATGCTGAAAGGGCTGGAACCATGCTGTAACCGGGAAATAAACCACCCAGTGCCTGGCATACCAACAAACGAATAAAAGCACATGATAAATGGAAGCCTTTATTAAAGATGGGCCTAGCAGCCGGGCGATGGTGGTTGTATGCTTCATCCCAGCACTCAGGGCGAGGCAGAGGCAGACAGATCTCTGTGAGTTCAAAGCCCTCCTGGTCCAAGAGTGAGTTCCAGGACAGTTAAGGTTACAGCACAGAGAAACCCTGTCTCAAAAAAACCAAACAGATGAACGAAGCAGCTCTTTCTAGAGGATTCGGAAAATGCCTCTGTTTGTAAGAACAATAAAACAACAACAATGAAAACTCCAAACTCACGCATACCGAACACCCCTCGGCTGGTATGGCTGCGGGTGGTTTTCAGCCAGCATGTGTTGTGGGTGAGATACAGGCTTGTTTGAGTTTTAGCTGACAAGCAGACATTTTTGCTTGTAAGCCATCAATCTTCCCAATTTTCAACCCAAGGGCTGAGCCCACTGGAATCTGGTTTAAACACCAGAGGGGAAAAAAGTCAATTGGAGAAATTTTATTGGCTGCCATTTTACTTCAAGGCTTGTGAGCTTTTAAATCTTAACATTGGGTCCAATGGATCAATAACTGCTATCCTAAAAAAAAACAAAAACAAAAAACAAAACAACAACAACAACAAAAAACAAACACTCTACGGTTCAGAAGGAAGTTGTTTGATTTTAGAGGAGAGCTGATCTGAGTCTCCTGAGAGAGTGGAGGTGCTGAAGAGGAACCCAGACTCCTTTTCCCAGTGCACAGACCTCCCCACCCATAGGGGATCCCAGGCAGATCCTCTTCTGATCCCAGCTCTCACAAGTCACTCTCCTCTCTCCTCCTTTGTGGTCACAGACTCCTACATTGGCTCCCTGCTCCCCTCCATGGCTTCTGACAATGACTTATTCTTTGTGTGCCTGTGTGCCCAGGCGTGCCACGCCACACGTGACAAGGACAGGGAACAGCCCTGTCCGCCCTCACCTTCCACCTCTTTTGAGGCAGGGTGTGGCTGCTGTCTATACCAAGCTGACTGACCCACGAGCTTTCAGAGCCTCTCTCGTTTTCATCTCTCCATCTCCGTCTTGCTGTGTGAGCGATGAGATTGCAGACACGTTTCTTCCACGTCTCACTTTGGCTCTCAGAAGCTGAACTCAAGTCCCCACGCTTGCAATGGCAAGTGCTTTAACCACTGAGCCACCTCCCCAGCCTCCTCTCTGGGTTCCGTGAATACAGCTCTATAGTTGGCACCCAATCTGGAGATGTTCAAGCTGTTATTTTCCTTCTTTTTGCAACAGATTCCAATTATAGGCACGTTAGACGGATCAAAATTGTCCCAACCTTCAGAGAGTTTCCACTTCTCAAAACTTTTATTTCGGGCCGTTTGTTTTGCTATGCCTTCGCGTTCACCAACACTGGCCCCTGCAATAGCCAATCCATCGTTAGTCTCTGCCTGCTCCATCTTAGACATGGTTGGTTTCATTTCTGGAGCTTGAGAGCTATGGAGATGGCTCAGTGGTTAAGACCACTTGCTGCTCTTGCAGAGGATCTGGCTTCGGTTCCCAGAATCCACTTGGCAGGTTGAAACCGTCCACCTGTAGCTGCAGTTCCAGGGGATATGCTGTACTTTGCTGCGTTCTGGGTACATATTCCAATCATGTACCCACGTGGAATATACACAGACACATTAAACAAAAATAACGGTGGTAAATAAATCCCCATTTCCAGACTTTGAGTCTTTCCATATTGCCTATGCCTCTACTTAACTTTATAAATAGAACATGGCTGCAGTGTCCTGCTAAGGCCACATCTGTGTCATCTCCAGGTGGCTCTGACTGATGACTGTTATTCCAGGTCACCTGCCCTGCTCCTCGACACTCCTATTAACTTCTGATTGGCTTTCAGCGATCACAGTCCAGTGTCCGTTTGTACGTCCGCATCCTTGAGCTTTGCGTTACACTAAGTATATGTAACCTGACTGTCAGAGGTAACAAGCTTTACCTTCCTTTTCATCTGGTCTCTGTAACCTGTTGGGGTTGTAAGGAGGCTCCAGAAAATCCAGGCTATTACAATAATCTATACGCTCTTTTGAGGAAGTTCAGCACCTATCATGAAATTAACCATGTTAACACAGAAGGAAAAATCCAAAGGGAGTGGAGATGAGGTAGAAAGGGATTCCATTCCCGCCCGCTCCTTCCTGAAGCTAGAGATGGAGCAGATTGTGGCTGCAGGCCGCTGTCACACTTAGCTTTGCACTGGGAAGCTGAGCACCCACCCGCATGCATAGAGGAGGAGCCTACAGTCCCTACTCGCTTCTCCAGTCGAGGCTCCCTTGTGTCACCAGCCTTGGGTCCTGAAGAGCCTCTCTGTTCAGTTGCCAAGTGGCTGGGCTGGGCTCCCCATCGAGCAGGGAAACTGGGCCAGCCCACCAGCCAGCCTGTGTGCATACTCACTGGGCTGGAGGTGCAGGGGACAGGCCCGCTCAGAGCCAGCTGGCCAACATGCTAGCCCAGCAAATGGGGGCCAAACTGCCTGGCTCCTGTTCTCCATGGGTGTGTGTTGCCGGGGCAGCTTCCGGTGCGGGCTGAGGTGACTGGCATAAACAAACAGCCCATCCATCCCTCTCTTGCCGTGCTGTTGCCAAAATTTAGTTTGAAGGGATGAAAGGCCAACAGGCCTGGGAGGTTGCTTAAGCTAAAAGAAACCGAGGGCCACTCAGCCACTCCGACTTACTCATGGGCTCCCACCGCCAAACTGCAGGGGAGTCTTCCCCCTGGGGAGAGAGGAGATCTGCTCGCTGCCGGGACTCAGCTTCCACACTCGGTGGCTGCAAAAAGCAGGTGTTGGATGTGGCCAACATTAGCAACCGGGAGGCTGGTTGGGTGGACAGGCTGCCAACAGAGGTGCCAGAGGGCTCCTGAGCTCAGATGCCCTCCCAAGCCCTGGACACATTTCAGGGCAACATTCCTAATGTGAAAGGAAACAAAACAAAACAAAACAAAAACCCACCACATACGAAAGAAGAACGAAAGCCCGAAGAAACTGCTCAGCAGGAACAGGCCATTGGTGCCACGTCTGTGTTCAACCCCAGGAGCCCACATGGTGGAAACTGACTCCATAAGCTGCCCTCTGGCTTCCATAGACATGTTGTGGCACGTTGCACCCTCACATACATACACATGAAATTTATGAGAGAGAGAGAGAGAGAGAGAGAGAGAGAGAGAGAGAGAGAGAGAAGAAAGTAGAGCCAATTGGGCAGATACCGTCCTCAACTTTGGACTGTTGAGCTGGATTTTCTTCTTCTATGATCATACAACATCCCACATGTAATCTACTTCCTCCTCACTGTCTGTGCAGTTTAGTGAGTTACATGAGCCGAGCCTGACAACAAAGGTCTGTCAACCCAGTTGCTCGGGAAGCTGAGGCAGGGGGACAGGTAGTTGGCGGCCCACACCAGAGAACTAATGCGAGATGAGTCATTACGCTGCTTCCTCGTGGCTCATGTTAGAGGAAGGTTGGGACAGATGGTGTAAGTTTTTTTACAGTTACAACAATCAACGCTCCGGGTCTTGGACACAGGGTTTGGTCCGATAATGTGACGCGTCAGCTCACCGTTCTGAACCCAGAAACACCATTGTGGCTGAATGACACTCTCATATGTCAGTGAAAGATTCTAGAGCATTACTGAAGCCCACGGGAAGCAAATCCCACAGGAAGCACTCCAGGTCCCTCTCTTGTCCCCTCTGGGTAAGAGGCGATGGTAAAGGACCTAGTCCTGAGGGTCAGCCTGTCTTCTACGTGAGGCTTCCCAGATTCTGGTTTCCTTTTCTGCCCTGCGCCTGCGGCAAAGCTACCTGCACACAGGGCTTCTCAGGGCACTGACAGCTGGCTCCAGTGCTCGATACAGTTAACCCGAGTGGAGGCCCAAGGCTGGGCTGGAGAGAGAGCCCGATGGGGCCAGCTGTAATGCCAGCGCTCTTAACTTACAGTGAGATGGGAGGAGAGAGGAGAGTTTCTAGGAGCTGGCAGTTAGCCTGCTGTATACAGGGTGAATAACAAACAGACCCAGTCCCAAACAAGGCAGAAGGCAAGGACCTATATCAGAGGTTGTCTTCTGACCTCCACAGGTATTGTGGCACAAGTGCCCTCTCTGTCTCTGTCATACACACACACACACACACACACACACACACACACACACACACACACACCAAATTCCCAGGTGAACCGATGTTACTGTTCTGAAGAATTGCTGGCTCCTACACCCTAAGTGACAGAACAGACCAACTGCACCATCCCTGGCCACGCCAACTCCAACTTGCAGAGGGGTCTGATCACTCGAGCCTCTGTTCCACAGGAGGCCGGCAGCACCCCCTGCTAATGGTGTTCTTGTTCGTTTGTTTTCATGAATTCACAACCCAGAGCAACGGGCGACATCCTTAAGATAGCAGAAAAGGAGATGGGGTGCCACTCACTTTGGGTGCCGGATATCGGGGAGAGAGCGATTCAGGGAGATTTTATCACTGACGTAGATGTTAAATCCATTTTCTCGGTATGCCTGGTCCACCCTCTCGGCATCGGTCAGGGGGTAAGGTTTCCCCTGTTCTCCATTTCCTAGGGGCAGAGAGCAAATTCAGTGTTGCTGGTTTACCTGATACCTACAAGGGTTGAGAATGGGGAAGAGAGTGATTGGACGGCAGACAATGCCTTACACCTGGGGCTGAAGAGATGACTCAGCCGCTAAGAGCAGTGCCAAAAAAAAAAAAGAAACACACACAAAAAAAACAACCAATCAAGGAGCACATTGGTTACTTCTGCATTACTGTGACCAAGGACCTGAGGAAAGCAACTTAATGAAGGAAGGATTTATTCTAGAAGGCTCTGTCCACTGTCACAAGGCTCTGTGTTCCTGGGCCTGTAGTGAAGTGGAACATACTGGCAGCAGGAATGTGTGGAAGAGGCTGTTTGGCTCAGGGGGCACAGGAAGCAGAGAGGGAGCACAGGAAGAGGACAGAGGGAGACTCAGCCCCAAGGACAACCCCCACCCCCACCCCATGTTCTTCTTTCTTCATAGAGGCCACACCCCTACCTTCGTCTCCCCGAAATAGTCACTATCGGTTTCATCAAAGGAATAAAGCATTCATTGTTGGGTCCCAAACCCTTCTGGTGGTGTTCTGGAGGGCTTCTTCTCCAGGGCCAGCCACACTTTCTGGAACACACGCACACAGATACTCTCTCTCCCGAGGGTTTCTTCGGAAAGTGGACAGGCCACTTACTGTCCTCATGAGAAGCCAAATCCTCTCCCTCCCTCTGCCACCCTGACAGGCATGTACTGTGGACTACTACTAGATCACATTTTAATAACTAAGCCTGCTTCCAGGCTGTGCAGGGAAACCGCTAAGGACATGGTTTGTCTGTGGGGACTGAGGACTTCCTCTTCAGGGCCTAGCTATACCATCTCTGACAGTAATGAATCTCCCCATGCCTTTCTCCTAGACCCATGCCTTCTCGCCTTCCTCCCTAGAGCCTAATATTCATCAGGTCAGAGCTCCAAAGACCTTCTTGTCTCTGGAGAGGTCCTTGCAGACAGACCAACAGTGAGCTCACTAATCTAGGCACTTCTTTTAAAAAAAACCTACACAACAAGATTTAAAAGAAAAAAAATTTTTTTCTTCTGTTTTAAAAACATTTGGGGGCTGGAGATATGCCTCAGCAGTTTCGAGCACCTTCTCACAAGGACCTGGGTTTAGGTGTCAGCATCTAAATCATAGAGTGGTTTATGGCAATCCAGAACTCCAGTTAGGCATGCACACAGTACACATACACACACAGGCAAGACACACACACACACACACACACACACACACACACACACACACACACA